ATTGATGCCTTCACTCCCACCATTGTTGCCATTGCCATTGCCATTGCCATTGCCACTGTGATTGCCATTCTTGTTGGCAGTATCCCCATTCTTCGTCCCCTGCGAATCCTTCCCATCATTCAAATCCACCCCACAGTCCACCGCCGCGCAGCCCACCTCGGTCGTCGCCCGCCACACCAGCTGCGTGAAGTGGCCCGTCTCCTCGGTGAACCCCGTCGGGTCCCGGAAGTTGTAGCGCAGGCCCTCGTCGCCCCACGCGGCGACGGCGGCCGAGGCGTTCGGGAACCCGAAGGCTAGGTTCTCGCCGTAGGGGCCGTGCTTTTTGTCCCCTTATTTAGTAATAAAGCTTTGTGTAACCGGGTTTATAAACCTGATGCTGTGGGGTTGGGGGAAGGCGGGCAGAGGGGTGTGTGTCCCTACCGAATGCGCCCATTTACACCCTTCGGCCCATTTCTTTGCGTACTCGGCCAGGCTCTTGTTCCAGATGAGGTTGCTGGCGTTGTGGGCTTGGCGGTAGGTGTTGGTGACGCTGAGGATGGTGTTGGCGAAGAGGTCGAGCGAGGTGTAGGAGGGTGGGTGGGGGACGGTGGGCGTCGCGGCGGTGGTGGCGGTCACTGTGACGACGATGATGGTCGTGGCTTGCGGGGTGAGGGCGGGGTCGGCGGCGGTTAGGGCCGTGATGAGGAGGAGGAGGATGGTGATGGTGATGTAGAGCCAGTGGAGGAGGGTGGTGGTGGTGGTTATGGCTGATCTTGTTGTGGATGGGAGTGGGTTGTTGGTGGTCATCTTGGTGGTCAGTTGTCATTCAGGTAACTGTCATGGTGTTTTATTTAGGTCGTTACGATGAGATAGAAAAAGGGCAGCATGGAGAGAAAGAGAAAGAGAGAGAGAGAGAGAAAGACAGGGTCAAAGTATGCAGGTCGAGATGTCAATCCACCAATTGTTCGCTTGCTCAATGTTTTCAGGTTTCAAAAACAGGGTCTGTGACGGCTTGCCAGGTGACAGGCCCAGACCAAAGAGACATCCTGAAACGGAGAGACTCTCTCGATATTCCGACAGATTATGAGTGCATGATGCAACGGCGCCTTAAAGAAGCAGGGTCTATGACTAAGGGTAGATCTAGAATAGAGGATCGACCCTTCGGACCGTCCCGGATGCTACCTGACGATCCAAATTAGTTAACTACTCATAGGTTCTCAATGGGGGTATTCATGGCTCTCTATATACATGGTATATTCGTGGTTCACATAACACTACATCCAATGCCATACATGGCTCGTTCCACGTCCCGCTTGACCAGCAACCAGTCTGCTCGTCGCTCGGCGAATTCGTACACTTCCTCCACCCGCCAAATCCCATAGAATCGATCCGCATCAGCGATGATGGTGGCTAACTCCTTGGCGTCGGACGAGTCGATCAGGTAGATTTGTGACAACTCCCGTAGCGCCTTGAAATATATCAGGAGATCCTGGTTCTTAAACCCTTGGATGAATTTGAAATAGTGGGTCATGTCGCTTGAGAGGTTGTCAGCTGTGTTCAATGGTGTAATTTGAAACAAGGGAGAGCGCTTACCTGATAAGCTTCAAGGATCCCTCGATGCTGATCCGCTGTCGCTTGAGGTGCTTGCACAAGGCGGCAAAAAGCCGCAGTCCGACCTCCTGGTTGAAGACATCCAGCATGCTCTTGTCCGTACTGCCCACAAGCATCTGGGTATGCGAAGATACCACATCTACTACGGCAGCCGCCGCCTCAGTGATGTTCACATCCATCGTCTTTCGATACGGGTCCTGGGAAACACTGGGGTTGAAGTCTGTCGCTAACTGTCGTGTCGCGAGGATATAATCCACTTCCTCCATAAGCACGTCAATGCCTTTGTTCAGTCCAGCAGCCACCCGCTCATCGAGGTTCTGCTCGAACTTCTTCTTTTCCTTGACGGCCGGATCAAGGAAGTCGTTCCGATCGGTCAACTTAGCGCCAACAAGCTCCTGCTCGTAGAAAACATCGATCATCTGCAAGATCAGATCGCCAACATTGACCAACTCCAGAAAAGTCACCAACGGCTCGACTCCGGACTGGTCCCGTTCTCCCTGTTCGCGAGGCCGATAATTGGATAGATGGCTAACAGCCTTGTCAAAGCCGCCGATCAGATGGCGGTGCCCAAGAATGCGCACTAGAGCAACGAAAATAGCCTCGCACTGCTGTTTGGCTGCGCTTCCGTATTCACCCCCTATGCTGACAAATTGCGCAGCTCGTTCTAGGCTGGATTTCGCGGCGTGCACAAGGCTTAGAGCGATTTCAATGCTGAAGAGAGATCGAATTCCTTCTAGCTTGGATTTCATTACTGCAGCCTTTGCTGCAAGTTCTGTAGTCGGTGCTTCCATCACTGGAGGTGTGGCAGGTGAACCGATCGTGGAAAATCGGTTTGGGCTCTTCAGAGATGACGCATCATCAGGAGAGGGGTCTGGAGTCGACTTGGTTTCCGTTGTCTTGCTCCCTGAAAAGCTGGGGAGGATGTTGACGGGCGCCATGATCACTTTTTTGAACGAGGTCAGAAAGTCCCGTTTGTCAGCCTGTCGGTTGATGTTGGACATCAGAAACAGCTCAGTTGATGCAGCCTGCTCTGAGAGTTGCCGATCCCATTCCCCGACTGCTGCTTCAGACTTTTTCCGGAAATGGTCTAATTCTTCTGCAAAATACAGATCCAGGTGAGGTTCATATGTTTTCGCAATAACGTGCTGCAAGAACTCGTCAAATGTATCGGGCGAGTTTTGAATGGGCAGCAGTGTATCCGATAGATTGAGACATTGTGCGAATGTTCCCGAAACCGCTGTGAGGTAAGACTCAATGTTCGTGCGATGTAATTCGTCGAAGATAGCTGTCAAGTATGGGAACAGTACATCTTGTCCGACTTTTTCGATAAATGGCGTGCTGACCTGTAATTGCGGGGGGAAAGCACGGTTTATAATTGAGACCTCCTCGTTGTAGGCGACACTCATCCGGGTGAAGAAAGCCTGGGTATGTTCCAGCTTGACACTTCCAGCGAAAGTGTCGATACAGTCGGTCACACTTCCAAAATCCGATTTGCGCGTAACCAGGTGGTTGTGGTGAATGAAGAGCTCGATTGCTGCGCCACCACCGTTCAACGTATATAGCACATGGGCGTATTCCCGCATTCTGTTTTCGATGTCTTCAGTCTCATAGCCGTGTCGAAACTCTTTGACCGCGTTTGTTTCGAAGGCCGACACAGCTGACTGCAGCTGTTGGGTTCGTTCATGCCAACCGTCGGTACAATCACAGTTGGCGAACGCCTGCAACTGAGAAAGAATCTGTGCCTGGTGTTGCGGATTGCTGTAGTCTCGAAACAGCAGACTGTCGGCCGAAGCTCCTAAGGTGACAATATCATTATAGTATGGTGCCAACGCCGCGTGTATCTTTCCATACTCTTGACGAGCTTCTCCGCGCACTGATTTGACCTGTCTCAACACACCCAAGACCGGATCGTCCTCTGAATCATCCTTGACATTAGCAATAGCAGGGGCAGACAGTTGTATTTGGTCGAAGCCATCCGCGAGCGAACTCAAGGCGTGGTCAGATTTGCGCTGAGTCGCATCAATTGCTTCCTGGAGATCCACCGCCTCTTTGTGCTCGATGGTTTTCATGTCGGCTATGGTTCCAAAGGTGTCTTCAACATGTTTGCGAGCCTCCAATTCGTCCCAGCACCCGATCTGTTTCAGCTTCTGCACCCATCTGGTATCATCGTACGCCATTTCGCGCAAGAGTTTCGACGACCGAGCGACTCGGATGAGGTCGACGGGGGAGAGATAATCAAGGATGGACGACATGATCTCTGCATTGCGATCGGTCAACATTAGAATCCCAAGCAAACAGATTCGGGATCTCTGGCTAAAGCCGCAGCTTATGGGCCATACCTGCTGGAAGGGCCGCCCTGGAGATCTCCTCCATGGAGGCCATTCTGAGTGAAGCCAAAACATCTCTGCGGGGCTTCTGTTTGTTCCCTGGCCCATTCCTGGCGTTCTGCATCTTGATCAACTGCGATTTGGCATCGGGATATGAATTGTGGTTCAGTGAGCACCGGCGCAGCTGAAGTCCGGCCGGGCAAGTCGGTCAGGGTCCCAGTGGGCGGTGCCCACCAAGAAGCTACTAGTAGTAAGTAGTTCGCTCCGCGGGGCGGCCCCAAATTCAGGTCACGATAAGGTTGAGCTCAAATCCACGGTAGCCCGGGTATCATAATGTTGATAAGGCACCTGTACGGCTGCTGCGCATGTGAAAAGAAGATCTGCTTTGTATCAAATAAAGAGGTTGTGAGCACCTATTGGCACTCTCAACGGTCCGTGTCAACCGCCAACCCCAGAAAACGGGCTATGGGAATGGATCAGCCGGATGTTTTTCCCTTCCGGCCCAAGCCGCCGGTTCGATCATGCTTTATCAAACCAACAGCATCAACAGGAATTGACGTCGTCGCTTGTAGATAGTAACCTCACCTAATGCAAGCGAGCTCAGATCAATTAGCGGGTATCTGTTCTAGATCTGGAAAAAAAAAAACTCATACACAGTCAAGTACTTCCCATCAATCATGATCCAGTCGTAGTTCCCGAAATACTAATCGAGGATGTATATAAATTTAGTGTAGATGTTCTGCTTAGGAACGGTCGGCTTCCTTGCTGGTACCCCAACCTTTGGTTCTTGAGACCCATACTCTGAAACATCAAGGATGAAAGGGTAGTGATTGGAAAGTAATTGGATGTTGGAATTGCAGAGAGAAGACATTGAGCTGCGGACAGTTACGGGTCTACAAGGGTGCCCCAGGCTACCTACCTAGGATGCCGAGTACCTGCTCTTTTCGTCAACTCTCTTGAACCACGAGCATCTCAACTCTACTGGACTTCATATCCGCCTATCAATGAATGGTGCTGCATGTGTCACCAGTCCTACAGGATCTTGAGCCGAAAATGGGCTCGACCAGCTGCATCTCACGTACGATGGAAGTGCAACAGCCAGTTCTTCACATTGAAGCTCGTGTCAAGACCAACAATGACGGCATCATCATCCGCACGGACTTAGTAGGCAACCAAAAGACTCGACACTTCCCCCTCTGACCCCTGAACAGATCCGAGACGAACTCACCAAGTGGCTGATTGACAAGTTCGTGGTTCTCTCCCTCGGACAAGAGATCGTCTCCTTCGGCAAGTCAACCGCAGCCAACGCATCCAAACAAGACTGTTAATCGTTGACCAGATGGGCTGAGTAACTCCCACACCCAGGCTCTGGATTCCGTGCTCGTTTGCGAGTGCACCGGTGGTACTATGGATTCCGGAGCATATCCCCTAGACCAGGTGAGGTTGGATGTTCAAGCATATCAGCTCCATACACAACTGGAGTCCGAGGACCCTCACCTCACCCAGACACTCAATGGTCACACCGAGAATAGTATGAACTCAACGAGGGCGAAGATCATGGCACTTCCCAACTCAGATCTGAATGGACTCTGGGAATCGTACGGAAGCTCAACCCCGACTCCAGCTCCATGCTCGCGCGCTGGTCTAATCTATGCCTGATAGCTTGCATTTCGATGAGCCTATACAGTCAACGCTCCTTACTGCTATACGCAGAATGCGTAAGTGATCTACGACACAGGCATATGTTCCGCGGTTTCCTAATTACAGACATATAGTCTCATTCTCTGCCTGCAAGCTCGACAGATGGACTATCAACTGGAACAAGCTGGTTCTCCTCTGGGGGCCACCTGGGACCGGTAAAACAAGCTTGTGGTGCGTTCCAGCATGTGACCATGAGTCTAAACACTAAAAGCATCCCAGCCGCGGTCTAGCTCAGAAGCTCGCAATACGCCTGGGGAAAGACTATCCCCAGAGTAAAATGTTCGAGATCAACGCGCATGCGCTAGGAAGTAAGTTCTTCAGCGAGGGAGCGAAGTTAGTGGATCAGATGTTTGAGCGCATAGATCTGTTGCTTGAAGAGGAAGACGAAACGCTGGTCTGCGTATTCATTGATGAAATCGAGACGCTCGCTGCCCGCAGAGATCGAGCTTTGCGTAGCAACGAACCATTTGATGCCATCCGAGCCGTGAACGCTCTGTTGACAGGCCTCGACAAAATCAAGGCCCATCCAAATGTAATTGTGGTCTGCGCGAGCAACTTGTTGACTGCCCTGGTAAGCATTCAACTATAGCACAATATGAAAGCGGCTGATAAGCATCGTCGTCTTGTGTAGGACCCGGCGTTTCTCGACCGAGTCGATATCAAGCAATGTGTACCGAATTTATCCAGCCGATCGATTTATCGCATCTACAAAGATTGCCTCGAGGAGATGAGTCGTAACCGTATCATCGAAGGGGCCGCATTTGACGTGAAACTCCTTCAGCCGGATGATCCTCAAACGCGATTGTCGTACATGGAAGAGCCGGCCGAGCAGCTCATGTTACCGACGTATGATGAGATGATTGTCAACTACCCGATGTTTCCAGAGGCCGTTCCCACACTGCTGGCGGAGGCGGTGTCGGAGAGTCTGGTCAGTGCATTCTCTGGTGGGAATTTGGTGAACACCACGCTGACCCGTGACTTCAACTCTCAACGTAGGGACTGAGCGGCCGAACAGTTCGTCGACTGCCCATTCTATCGCTAGTAATGTATGGCGAGGAAGGAAGGAGCGATATTCGCAAGGCCATTGATGCGCTGAGAAAGGGCATCGCGGCGGAGAAGATGACTAACCAATGAGAGCCGACGGATTAAAACCAAGCCAGTGAGGCGAATGGGAGGCAAGGCGAGGGATCCAGAGCCATTGAGGGCCATAGACCAGGACATGGAGGTATGGGGAGAAGAAAGAACAGCTTTAAGGAGTTGTGTAATGCCTCCAATAGTATTAAATCGAGTAGTGGTTTGAGGAAGCTGAGTGAGGGTGTGCAGTGCATCAGACCAAATGATGCCGGCCGGCCTCGAAAATTGGTTGTTCCGAAAAGTCGCGGTTTTCACCGAAGCCAGTTAGCAGCCGGCCAGCAGCCAATCAGCGGCAGGGTTTAGGCAATTCCAAGCCCAAGAGAAACTTGACCCGTTCGACCAACCTCGACTTCAATTGAACCTCCAAAAGCACATTCTCCCACTGCGCTCCAGCCTTGTCCCCTCCCCCCCTCCCTCTCCTCCTCCCCACCACCACCCCTTCTGTGGCTATTGTGCCGTCCTAATTACCCATCGTTCGGAGGGTTATACATATCGTCAGTATGCTGGGCCGTACTGTTTTGCGCAGCGTGCCCTTCCGGGGTGTCGCACGTCAGACCTTGAGCAAGACCTCCACGGTACGCTATTCCCGGGCTTCGACGCCAATTGACCCCATGCCATGAGGTCAATCGATGTGCAATCGATCACCAATCCTTCAGCAAGAGCCTTTGACTAACTTGCTGACCAGCGTGCGTCTTCCTCTGCCGCCGGTCCCGAATCCGCCAGCTCCCCCTTCAACCTCACACTCACTGCCTCGGCCGCCACCGCCGTCGCTATCGGATCGGCCGCCTATCTCTATGGCCAAGAGGCTCACGCCATGACGCCTGCTGAGGAGGGGTGAGTAACACTCTAGAAAGAATTCAGAATTGGCCCTCGACCAGACCAGCTCCGCTGTCCCGGAACGATGGCTCGTCCCAACCCGGCCAATCACACCACCACAAAGCTAACAGCATCGAAATCCAGTCTGCACGCTACCGCATACCCTTGGGAGCACGCCAAGTGGAACAAGACATTCGATCACGCCGCGTGAGTAACCTCTTTACCTGTTATCCTGACACCGGGGAGCCCACCATGGACCTCACTGGCAACTCCCGCAACCTCGGCAATTGTGCTCATATGATTCTTTTGTGTTCAAAATACAGTCTTCGCCGTGGTTTCCAGGTCTACCGTGAAGTCTGCGCCAGCTGCCACTCCCTGACTCGTGTGCCCTGGCGCTCGTTCGTCGGTGTCCTCCACACCGTCGATGAGATGAAGGCCATGGCCGAAGAGTACGAGTACGACACCGAGCCCAACGACCAGGGTGAGATTGAGAAGCGCCCCGGAAAGCTGTCCGACTACATCCCCGCCCCCTACCCCAACGAGGAGGCCGCCCGTGCTGCCAACGGTGGTGCTCTGCCCCCGGATCTCAGCTTGATCGTCAAGGGCCGTCACGGTGGCTGCAACTACATCTTCAGTCTGTTGACTGGCTACCCCGACGAGCCCCCAGCTGGTGTTGTCCTCGGTGAGGGCATGAACTTCAACCCCTACTTCCCCGGTACCGGTATGTATACAACCGAACACTCCGATTGACCGAAGACTCCTCCCATCTGACCGCTGAATATCCAGGTATTGCCATGGGTCGTGTTCTCTTCGACGGTGTCGTCGAGTACGAGGACGGCACCCCCGCCACCACCTCCCAGATGGCCAAGGACGTCGTCGAGTTCCTCAACTGGGCCGCCGAGCCCGAGATGGACGACCGCAAGAAGATGGGTGTCAAGGCCATCACCCTTCTGACCGGTCTCTTCGCCCTGAGCGTCTGGGTCAAGCGTTACAAGTGGTCCCCGATTAAGACGAGAAAGATCGTGTACAGCCCCCCCGTTTCCCGGCGCTAGAAGAGGAGAGGCCTCGCAAAAAGCGGAACCACCCTAGAAATGTTTGCCAAACAACCTTCAAACCAAGTGAAATTGGGAGGCTGCCAGAAAGGGAGATAAAGAAAAAAAATAAAGAACAATTCCGGCGGCGGGCGAAAGCTTTTTTGATATAAATGCCTGTATCATAACAAATCTGGGAGTCGTCCTTACGTGTTTATTTTCTCTTCCCTGCTGCAAAGACTTGTGCTGTTTCACGGACATTTATTCGGTGTGCTTTCTGCTTTATGTTTCGTTAGAAGTGTGTGTTGTTTGTCGTTTTTTTTACCTACTCCACAGGACACCTGTATCTTGTATCCTAGATATTTATTCTCCTTTGAAAATGTTGTTTTTTTTGAAGGTCCCCCCGCAATGTCACAATTTCTTATGTTTTGATTCGGATCGTGATCTTCGGTATGGACAGTTAACGTGTGCTGTGGGTGTGGGTGTGGGTGTGGTTGTGGTTGTGGCAGATGTGGGATATAGGTTTTCTTCTCCCTTGCTCTCGCATTCATTTATTAACATGTAGAGAAGAGCGGGAGCTAGGTATCTGCTGCTCATCTCATTGTATGTATGGTGAGTGAGCATTGAGACATGTACGGAGTACTAGAATGTTCTTTCCGATACTGAAGCCATGCATCTAGAGCACCAACCAATACCTCTATTCCCCCCTCAACCCCAGCCCACATCATTACATTATGCCTCATATCATGACCTCTAGCAAGTTGACCCTTTCTAGCTAGTAACTACCTGCATTCTCATAGCGAACGGTAGCATCTCAACAAACCCCCTCCCCCTCTGTTACCTCCATCGCCCCGACCCCCACCACCCCATCTCCATCTCCGTCCCCCCCCTCCATAACCGCAGCCCCAACCGTCCGCTCCCCATCCCCAAACACCCTCACGAAAAACGAATCATACGACCGCCACATCGCCCCAAACACCGCGTCCTGCGCCCGCACCAACCAACCCGGATGCCGACCATCCGGACCGGCCAGCGCGCGGCCCAGCCCGATCAGCCCCATGACCACGGGCCCCCACGCCGCCAGGAACGCGACCTGCCCGACCCGCTGCCGCCGCGTCGTGATCCGGTACGGCCGGATGCCGGCCAGATAGGCGCGGTAGGCGCGGGGGAGGTTGTGCTCGGCGGCGCCGGCGCGGATGAGGCCGAGGTAGCGGGCCGAGGGTTGGGCGTAGAAGGGGTTGGGGCGGGTGGATTTGGAAATTGTCGGTGGGGTTGCGGTTGCGGTTGCAGCAGCAGCAGCAGCAGCAGCCGCCGCCGCACCAGGGGACAGTAACGTGTGGGCCTGGAAGGGCACGGTGCCGGGGTGTTCGGGGACCGGGTCGGTTTGGGGATTGTAGGTCTTGGGGAAGGCGTAGCAGTCGATCACGGTGTCGATGTAGCCGCGGCCGCCGCCTTCGGTGGCGATGATGCGCGCGTAGTCGGACAGGGTGACCTCGTAGACGACGCCGACGAGCGGCATGCGCGGGCTGTAGTCTGGTTCTCCTTCTCCGTCTGTGGTGGTGGCGAGGAGGGGCAGGGAGGGGTCTGTTTCCTTCGGTGGAGCGTGGTCCGTGTCGCTGCGGACATTTGCGACGCCCTCCTCATCGTGATATCCCCTATCCTCCTCGGTGCCCTCGGCAGCACCCGGACGGTATCTCGTTGCCGCGAAACACGGCTCCGCGTAAGGGATTCCCGGTAGATCGAAGGTGAGCCACAGACTGGGGACGACGACGTTCGTACTGGACAGGGGGCGGATGCCGCGCATGCCGAGGAAGGTTTCCGAGTTCAGGTTCGAGCCGTAGGCGAGGTAGAGGACGGAGTCGTCGGAGGTAGGGAGCGATTGCGCGCTGACGCCGTGCGCTTGTAGCGCGGCCAGCTTCTCGGCGAGGTGGGTGTCTCTGTTGAGAGACGGGTTCGTCATGGTGGTTGTGGTGAGGGAGCTGGGCTGCTGCTGCTGCTGCTGTGGTGCATCGTCCATGTCTGAAGTATCCCTGTGAACCATTGTAGGAATACTCCGCGGCTGTAGGTATGTACAACCGAGCGCCTTGCGAGAGCGACACTTGACAATTGACGCTGAAACTCAATCAATGGGATCGGTGTAACGAATGGAGACCAATTTCGCAACCCCCGCAACCATGGACATGACCTGCTGGCAGCCCGTGAGCAACATGATGGATTTATATCTGGTGGAACTCTCGAACCCAGGTTTCGGTCTCTGGGTCGCTCGGTTGGTCGTTGTTGGCGAAGCCGGGGTTATCGGAACGGATCCTCGACCAGCCGGGGGTTTGATTACCAATACTCTCTTATTCCCGGTGGGTGAGAGAGTTGCAACTGCAACTGCTCCTGCTGCTGCTGCTGCTGTTGTTGTTCTTTGGTTTTGAGATGGTGTATTCTTTCCCCTTGAGCATCACTAACAATGCGGCTCTGATATAAGCTCATGGTCCTTTAGTTGTGACCATAGAGCAGCAACCAACGGGTAGTGGATGGCGCAACCCCGCCGATGAATGCAGTAATAGTACCGTGTATAGAAGCTCTCGGTGCCTGCGGGCATCGCGGAGATTAGATCTTATCGGATCTCCCTCGTCATGAGCCGTAATGGGGCATACTTCAACGCTTTCCACTCCTCTATGCCAATCCAGCTTACGTATCAATCCGAGTAAACCACCACTAAGCACCTGGTCGATGATCTATGCCAATGCGCAATGACAACGTAGCCAGCGACGTGTCGGTGCTCCGAGGCGCCTTCTTTACCTCCAAGGCTCTGCGCAATGGGCTACTCTTCCACCGCAAGGAGGGTTCGTCAAAGCCCTATTGCCTGCCTGCCCGTCAGAAAGCTCCTATTCGCAGACTTGCCTATACTTCATGAATGTCGGGCAAGCATCGGCACAGGTACCTTCCCGTACCCTATAGTTGCAAGCGCAGCCTTCTTGTCTTCATCAAGGCAACGTGGCCGAGTGGTTAAGGCGACAGCCTCGAATGCTATCTGATAGCACTGCAAGCTGTTGGGTTCGCCCGCGCGCGTTCAAATCGCGTCGTTGTCGTTCACTTTTTTGTCGAGACGAATACTCGTTCAATGCTAGGGTATTAGGCCAACATGCTGTCGAGCTTACCTCGGCCAAGCCCAGTCCGCATCGGAGGATACACAGGGGCAGTGCAGTGGGCGTGGGTACGTACCGCTGGCTAAAGGAATTGCTACACTGTCCACGTGGACGAGCCATTCAACATAGTATTCATTGATATTCATTACCTAGCTTATTACCCGCCGCAAGGGCGTAGAAAAAGATCCAATACAATAGAAACTCGTAGATCACTTTTGTGTTTAACCCCGCTCCCCAAACCAATTAGAGTCGTACATCAGAACAATACAGAAACTCGGGCGAGAGCCGCTCACTGAGAAGAGGTCAATTTCTCTCTGCGAGCGCGCACCGCCTGGGCCAGGTTCTCCAGCACCAGCTCCGTATCTTCCCAGTGGATGCAGGCGTCGGTGATACTGACACCGTACTTCAGGCCGGCCTTGCCCTCGGGAGGGACCTTCTGGTTACCTGCAAAACGAAAAAAGAAAAAGCATTAGCAAAACGAACCAGCCAACAACAAAAATCCTACATACCCTCGTTGATGTTGCTTTCAATCATCACACCCATGATAGCGGTCTCGCCCGCGGCGATCTGCTCAGCCAGAACAGCGGCGACCTTGGGCTGGTTCTTGTGGTTCTTCTGCGAGTTGCCGTGGCTGCAGTCCACCATCAGACGGGGTGGCAGGCCCTGGGCCGCCAGCTTCGCCTTGGCTTCCGTGATGCTCTGCGCGTCGTAGTTGGGACCCTTGGTGCCACCGCGGAGGATGACGAAGCAATCCGGGTTGCCGACGGTGCCGACGATGGCGGCGACACCGGGCTTGGTGACGGACAGGAAGTGATGGGGGTGCTTGACGGAGCCAATGGCATCCACTGCCACGCCCAGCGAGCCATCGGTGCCGTTCTTAAACCCGACGGGGAAGGACAGACCCGAGGCCAACTCCCGGTGGACCTGCGACTCCGTGGTGCGAGCCCCCACGGCTCCGACCGACAGGCAGTCGGCCAGGAACTGCGGGGAGATGGTATCGAGCATCTCGCTGGCAATCGGCATGCCCTTGTTGGTGAGGTCGACGAAGAGCTGGCGAGAGACGCGCAGACCCTTGTTGATCTTGAAGCTGTTGTCAATGTCCGGGTCATTGATCAGACCCTTCCAGCCAACAGTAGTCCGAGGCTTCTCGAGGTAGGAGCGCATGACAATCAGCAGCTCGTCCTTGTACTTCTCCTTCAACGTCAACAGCCGATCGCAGTATTCGAGGGCCATTTGCGGGTCGTGGATCGAGCATGGTCCGATGACGACCATCAAGCGGTGCCGGTCGGTGTCCGTGCCTTGAACGATGGCCGTGGCCTCCTCACGGCCTTCGAGGACCGTTTGTCTCGACTTATCCGTCAAGGCGATCTCATGTTGAAGAAGGTTGGGGGGAGTTAGGGGGTTGTATCCGCGAACTGGGGTAGAAGAACGCAAGTCGTTAGTGACAATGACATGAAAAATGGATAAACCGGGGAGCACACATACTTCTTGAGTCTTCCAAGGAAGTTCTGTCTCCGACGTTGGGGTTTTCAATGAAGAACTGTATGGGTTTGATGAGCATGGAATCGGAAACATTGAGGATGGCTGCAGGTGACTCACCGACATGGTGGGCGGCGGCGGCGGGGTGGGATGAGATGGCGATAGAGAGAGAGATAGGCAGATAGTATGCCCGATGAACTATAAGAAGGGAAGGGAGATGATGAGAGTGGATTCAAACGAGAGCAACCAAGGTTAAGATGGAGAGAAAAAAAGATTGACCTAGGGAGTCAATTGTACCAAAACAGCCGAGTTGTAGTTCAATTGAAGGCCAGTTCAATGCGCCTCTTATAAGAAATTGTCAAACCTGATTGTTCTTGGGAGAGGGGCAAAACCTCGTCACTCGCATTTGGGCTGGCCTCCTAAGTCGGCGGGCGCATTTCCATTCGAGTCATAATCCTTCGATCCACGTGACTTCGGTGAGCGGACAAATGCCCAACACTGGCCTTCCCATTGGCTGCGTCCCCTGGAATACAATACACCACACACTGCGTGCTGCAGCTGTACTGCACAGAGCTCACTGCAGTAGTCAATCACTACTCAATTGCCATCGTTGATCCATTTTTCCCGATGCTAGCTGATGCTGGTAGCAAATACGATCGATTTGCAGTAAGACTGGTGCTTGAGAGCGTGTTCTACGCAGGGTCGCTTCTGGAGACCAGGCGTCCACAGTCACAGGGGGGCTCAGATTGTTGCTCCCTACCATTTCGGGTGACTGACCCATGACTTCCATGAGGCACGGCATTCCAGACTGGATGTACGGTGAACTCCATCAACTTGGAACTGGATGAACAGATTGCCATTACTAGATGTGGCAGCGGGCATGAATGAGATACTCATAAATTGACAATTGCCTCACCACCGTCAACTCTAATTGGCAGAAGTAGCTGAATATGTAAGATCAAAGCTTCTCTTCCATCGCGAACTTCTTGTTGACGTCAGATGCCATAGTTATGCAAGATCGCCTGAAACCATATCTAGAAGTTTAATTGATGCCGAGGAGCTTCTGAAATCGCTTCTCATCTCTTTCCATCCGGTGAACCAGTTCCTCGCAGATCTTGGAATGATGTTTGCGAATACCTTCCATCTGTTGCTGGCATAATCTAATCCGTGCCTCCCGAGCTTCTGAGAGCTGGTCAAGCATGTCATGGCAGTTCTTCCGGAATGACTCAAACACCTCGCTTATAGTAGTGTTCTCGCTCTCGATGTGGCGGTTTAGAGACTTGGCACAATCACCGCAGTCAGCACAAGCAATACTCGTCCGTAATTCCGCGCTCGTAGAGTGTTGGACCCACCTCGCTAGTCTCCAGCAGCATTTTCTGCACGGCAGTATTCTGGATAGGTCCGGATATTTCCGGCCGGTTATCTCTTGCTGCGCATAATTTCAGCCGGTTAGCAAAGGAAGCTGGCCCTTCCCCGGCCGTATGGCCTCTGTAGGACTCAGGCAAGGATGCCACATCCCCTAGAACAAGTGTCTGTGTCTTGTAATGTTCCTTGTATTTCTCTGAAAGGAGGCGGGGACTTCCATTGGTATCGACTATCGTGTTTCTAGGAGTCCTTTGGAGGGAACAGGGGGAAATGCTGACAGCCTCGGCGCTTAGACTCTCCTGAGAGCTCGATTGGGTATGATGCTCTCTCGAAGGAGTCTCTTCCGATGTCACGGACGGTGATGTGCTTCTTGAGCTGGAAATCCCCCCTGGCTCACGCTCGATAGACATAGCTGCGTGATGAGTTATCTCAGTACCTATTTCTTGAGCTTTCCAGCCTGTGTCCTCCATGAATGCCATGCTTGACTCGGGGTATACGGGAGGACTCTTGTCATTGCTTGTCAAATTCTCGAGTTCATCACTCTTGTTCTGAAGAGATTTGTCTGTCATCGTACCAACCGTACATAATGCTGCGAACGGCCCTTCAACAGGGTGAACCTGCACCTCCTGTCCTCGATATTCGAGCGATTGACTGCGGGTCATAGGAGCTGTTATGTCTGCACTGTTCTCACCTTGGAGGCCAGAGTGATAGAGCTCTATCCCGTCACTGCCGTCAATCCCCGGGATCTGAATGATAGACAGGATTGAGTCCATGTTCTCCTTGTCGGACAAAAGAGTTTCGAGGTTCTTGTTCGCAGCCGCAGGGCTTGACATAGCATTAACAGATGCTTCATCACCCAGAAGAGCCCGAGGAGCTTGAGTGCCGGCACTCCGCGGGCTACCAACGTGGCGCAGGGTCACAATCAGCCTCTTTCGCCGAGTTCCAAGGCTCTCGTCCCGCCCTTCTTCATCAGACACAGGAGCTCCGCGTTTCTTCGGGTTGGTCTTCTTCGACACAGTCCGCTGGACTGTTGTAGAACGTCTTCCAGTCGACGGCTTCTTCCGCCTCACCTTCCCTTTTGACGCACTCGTGATTCCGCGAGATTTGTGACCGTCATTGAAGGTATAGGTGTCAACAGGTAAGGGCGATGGGACCGAAGTCGCTTCACTGCTCTGGTGTGCCGTCACTTCGCCTGGCTCGTTGCTGGGTCTCAAATCCTCGTCCCAATCTACCGCATCAGAGATACACCTTGCCACACGCTTGTTGACCGGTCTACCGCTCGGACTATCAGGCATCTCCATAGGCAGTCGAACTTCGAGGTCTATGAGGGCTTGCTCGTCTTGGGGAACCTCGCATTTGGGACCGTGATGTAATTCCGCTTCAGAGTAATCTAGCTTCGGGCTTGGTCCAGGTTTCTACCACCGGTTAAAACGATTAGAATGCGATGGTTAATCGGAAGGTTCAAGGAAAAGACAATGGGAGGTACCGATGGGTCAATGTCGCTTTGAGTATAGTGTTCCTCTGCGGTGCTCTTCTGAAAGTGTTCGAAAGACTTATCGACGATTTCGTCTCTGGTATACAATGAGACCAGGACGGCGGATATTTTCGTGACAATCACACTCTTCACCGTACTTGGACTGCTTAGCTGGGACATACCCTTCAGGTTTGGTCACGTTGTGATGGAATTGATTGTGGGTGGGATTATGTGTAGTGGGGGAAGTCACGTCTTCTAGCGGATCGCGCATGGTTGACATGTGTTAGTCTGAGTATGATCTGAGGGAAGTGTGGGTAGTGGTAGTGTAAGTTTGCTTACTTTTGGCTGCGTCTAGCGACAGTCAAATCAATATCGTCAGATGAACCATCGGACATACTTGAGAATTAAAGTAAACTGTATAGATATCTTAGATAACTCCAACGGATCACTCCGAGTTCTGAAGAGGTCTGCGCCTGCACTGCGCACTGCAGGGCTGGGTACTTTCCTAAAACGATACGTTATTCGGTGGTTAGTGAGAGGTTCAGTAAGGAAGGTGCTATTTGCTTCAAGATTAGCCGCCTGCTTACACTTAAAATACATTCTTTACATTCATCATAATCAACAAAAGTCATGTCACAAAATAGTGTTACATATTAGTATGGCTCTCGACGAGCAACAGCTCCTGGTATCAATAAAACGAGAGATCAATGTACAAAAAAGCACGACATGCTGACGAACTGTGGACATAGCCCCCAACCTCAACAACGTGTCTATAAGCGCGGTCGATACATATAACATGAAAGTTCAAAGTCAGAGAATATGGCTATCTCGTAGATATTGTGGGCGTAGCATCATAGATCATCAAGCGTCATCCACAAGGAGAGGAATGAGAGACGAGCCGTGGAAATACAAACAAGGTATAGGGAGGTTGTATGTGCAGGAGGCATGGATGAGATATGCGAGGCATACTGCCAGAATGGGGTTGCCCGCAAAGCCTTAGACACTCTCGTCGGGTGCGACATTTGGCGTCTCCTGGACACCAGAGTCTCCCTGGTATCCTGGGGCTACGCTGCGTCCCGGAAGCCAAGCATCATGGAGGGGCAAAATGAGACTCGGATTCACATATTTCTTGAGCCTGAGTCCCAGTTCTTGACCACCAATTCGGATCGGGAAGGCATCACGCTCGAGACCAGATGGCGGCGAGAAAGTCGACGATGGAGAAGGCGAGATATCTCCTCCACCAGGGCGTTCACGGTCGATACTCTTCAGCGCGATGAATTTCATCAGGGGCTCGTAGTTACGCGAGAAGAAATAGCTGAACCACACAGTTGCCATCAAGAGGGGAACGATGAGTAAAGAGCGGGTGATGGCTCGGCGCAATGCCAGGACACCAATCATCGCGAGTTGAAAGACGATCAAGCCCATCAGCACACGACTACATATCATGGGCCACGCTCGCCCGGTTGAATGCTGTTGGTGATCCATGGCGTAGAGAAGCTGGTACTTGTAGATGAATTTGCCGATGGTGAAATAAATCAGCCCGAAAAGACAGATTAACCACGAGCTGGGGAAGACACTATAAACCACACAGATGATTAAACTGAGAATTGTCTGTGGGATAGAGTATCCGTAGCTGAACACAGGGGGCGTGTTGAGCTCGGCGTAGTCGCGGGGTGTCTTCGCCGTGAGAAAGTTTATGGGATACATCGCCACGCTCCCAAACTCCAGAAGACGAAATGGGAGTAATCCTATACCCTGTAGACACAGGAAATTGATGTAGAAAGGGGCAAAGTTTTCCAGCGTCTTGGCCAGTGCGAAGGCAATGGTGGTGGCATCCTTGAATGCATCTCTGAGATTCTCCCAGAAACCGAAGAATGTTGTTGCAGTCCCGAACACTGTAAAGACAAGGAAAAGGTTGAAAAAGGAGAAGAAGAAGGTCTTCGAGATGACGGACAACTCAATATCACCGCGAGACATCATGCCTTGCTGATGCGACAGCCCTGAGTAACTGGTCAGTTCCTGTAGTGACAAAGGATAATGAACAGTGACTTACAACTGTAGAGGTACGGCACCGCGATGGTCAACAGCGAGAGGACCAAAGTGGGAAGACCAGTTTGAACCAAGGATTTGGCAAGAGGGTTCCGTGACAGAGCATCGGCTAGCTGGGGGAACACTTTGTGAAGCGTCTCATACTCGAGCAAGTACGCTACCGGAATCAAAAGCACAGACCAGAAAACCGTCAGGAAGCCGATGACAACTGTAATGGACCAGGATTGCATCATTCGTCTCGAACGAGGGATGTAGGTGTTCTTCCACACAACATCGGCAGGAGCTGGTGCCAACCGAGCAAGAAGCTGCATTGGTTGCGGATCAAGGATGGCCTGAACAACCATTTGCGAGGCGGCAATAGACTCCATCGTGACGAATGCGATCTCGGTGGGTGGGTACTCCTTTCGGCGTGCAAGCTGGATCTGCTCATCGATCCGCCGCAGCTTCTCTTCGTAATAGTCGATAGCATCCACATTCCGGTAGCGCAGCTTGAGTGGTCCATACCAGATGCGGGTAGTCGGTCGTTTGTGAGCATAGTCAAGGACGTGATCTGGCATGCTGTCAGAGAGAAGTTGTATGCGCTCGCTATCCTCCTCCGAAACGATGCTGGAACCACGCGCATGTTGCTGCAACAATGGCAATCGATTTGCGTTGGCCTTGACACGTTTATAACCCAGGTGCTTCGTCCATGCCCACTCGAGATTCCGAAGGATTTTGAGCCGCTCATCAATTAGCCGGTCCAATTCGCGCCAGTCTTTGCACAAGGTAACGCTTTGCACTTTTCCAATTTGTAAACCTTCTATAAACTCTCTGATTTTCTCCTCCGACCCCATGTCGTGAGGAATACCAGAGAGACGAATCGTTCTATCTGTCGTGCTTGTCTGACTCCCGAGATATTGCTGCCGGATACGAATGACCTTGTTTGTATCCTGCACGAGCATGTAGACGGCGAGTCCAGTAAAGATGTACGTGAATACCACATACATCCAGAGGTAATTCGGATCCGAGATAATCTTCTTCTTGTCCTTGTCGCCATCAAAAGTGTCAACAGGCTCGTCATCGTCGTCCCAGCCCGGGACGCCCGATTTACCGGTATTCCTGTAATGCATAGGGAGGATAATGACCAAGGCGAAGAAGAATACGGCGGAGAGGAACCGAATCGCGAATTTGAGGAAGGTCAAGAACTGAATCGGACATTGGGATTGTCAGCCACTGTCTAAGACCAGGAACAAGCTGACGGGGGCATGCAGCAGCACTTACCACAAATGCATCTAAGCCCGCCGATTCGAGCACCTGTTCTTCAGTAATCCGATACAGCACAGGTATCCAACCAAAGAAGCTATCCGGGAGTTCAGGCAAGTGGGATGCGGCGCAGCGCTGTCTTCTCCGCGCGGCATAAAGCTCGGTCCATTTCGGTCGCAGAACCTATGCCAGTTCGACTCGTTAGAGAAGAAGAATTTCCAAGTGGCTTCCAGCTACTTACACAGAAAGCAAGGAAAGCGCCCAGACCGATGGTCAAACTAATGACAAACTGAGTGTAGAGGTCGCGAGAGTCCGTTTGATCCCCCCAACTCGGCTCATGTACTTCAATGGGCGCATCAACCACGGTCAGCATCGCTGCCGCAGCAGATTGCGTGAGCGACATGACTCTCGTGAAGTCGTGTTCTGCGCTTGAGTGCGTTTGACGGATGTCTCGGGTTATCAATGCATATGGGCACGCGGAGCTCTTTCTGTCCGGGGAGGAATGCGCAGCTTAAAAACAACTGACGTCAGGGGGGCCAGATTACACGTAGTACACAGCGTCACAGCCTCGAAGTTGTTGCGAAGTGTAAAGCAGAAATACCAGAAACAGATCCACGTCAGGCAACATTCGAAGTAAGGGACCTACACCGCAATCTCTGCGCTAAAATGCGATCTTCGCCGTGTCGGGCATCGCTTCA